GCGCGCCCCCGGGGCCGGGCGGCGGCGGCGGCGGTGGCGCGGGCGGCGGAGCTCAGAGCCTGGTGCACCCAGGGCTGGTGCGCGGGGACACACCCGAGCTGGCCGACCACCACCACCATCACCATCACCACGCGCACCCGCACCCGCCGCACCCGCACCACGCGCAGGGACCCCCGCACCACGGCGGCGGCGGCGCGGGGCCTGGACTCAACAGCCACGACCCGCACTCAGACGAGGACACGCCGACATCCGACGACCTGGAGCAATTCGCCAAGCAGTTCAAGCAGCGGCGCATCAAGCTGGGCTTCACGCAGGCCGACGTGGGGCTAGCTCTGGGCACATTGTACGGCAACGTATTCTCGCAGACCACCATCTGCCGCTTCGAGGCCCTGCAGCTGAGCTTCAAGAACATGTGCAAGCTCAAGCCACTGCTGAACAAGTGGCTGGAGGAGGCGGACTCGAGCACCGGCAGTCCCACCAGCATCGACAAGATCGCGGCGCAGGGCCGCAAGCGCAAGAAGCGGACCTCTATCGAGGTGAGCGTCAAGGGCGCGCTCGAGAGCCACTTTCTCAAGTGCCCCAAGCCCTCGGCACAGGAGATCACCAACCTGGCCGACAGCCTGCAGCTGGAGAAGGAGGTGGTGCGGGTCTGGTTCTGCAATCGGCGCCAAAAGGAGAAGCGCATGACGCCGCCAGGGATCCAACAGCAGACGCCAGACGACGTCTACTCGCAGGTGGGCACCGTGAGCGCCGACACGCCGCCACCACACCACGGGCTGCAGACCAGCGTGCAGTGAAGGCAAGGGCGCCGCGCGAAGAGGGCCGCCGCCGCCGCCTCCTCCGTCAGCACCGTCGCCGCCCCCGCCGCCACCGCCACCGCCACCGCGCGACCCCGCACCGGGGCCGCACCCGGCCCGAGCCCAGGCTCAGCCTCCGCCCTCCTCTCTGCCCAAAGACAGGCATGCGCGCCCTTGGAGAAAAAAACGAGGGAGAGACGGACTAAGAAGACATTTTTTGAAGTCCAAGGAAGGAGGGACCAAAACAATTAAAAAGTATAATAAATACCCAGACTGTTTTATATACATACACGACAAACAAAACCGGAAGAGGAAAAGGAGGCGATCATGAGATCTCCTGTATACCACGGTGGTGTTTCATTTTTTGTTTTTGTTTTTAAAGAAGGGTGAAGATGCCTAACACACCAAAACTGCACTCGGGAGGTTTTTCCCACCCTGAGATGACCTACATGGCAATGGTGGACAGCACCTGCCTCCTCGTCCTCTCCCCTTAAAAAGAAAAGAAAAGAGGTCCTCCCCCCTTTCTCCCTTCACTTTCTCCCTCCCTCCAGAAGCGCAGCCTGAGGAGGTCCACGGAAACTTTCTTTCCTGGGAGCGATCTGAAAGAAAGCAGAGGCACCGGGTTTCATCATGGGGTGACTCTTTGCTCCAGGACCCCGTTTTTCTTGGCCATATTAAAGTCACTTGGGAACAAACAACTATGAAAAGAGGAGGGGGTAAAGTCTCCAGGAAAATAAAATATTCACAGCTTCTGATATTAACAGACTGAACAGCAAAGCCAAAAGTATCCTCAAAGTAACCTTGGAAATAAAAACAACGCGAAAAGAGCAGAGGGATGGGTGAGGGAGAGGCGGACGTCCACCAAGGAGTGGCGACAGGCCCCTGCTAAGTCGGTCGCCAGCAGGCGGACTGGGCGCGGAGCTAGGGCCCAGCCAGCGAGGCCGCCGAGCGAGGCCCGGCCACCAATCCGGCTTTGACGGCTGCCACTCGGGGTGGACCATGCCTAAAGATTCCACCGCTAATATTTTTTTTATTAATATTTTTTATTTTTTATTTCTGGACTGACTCAGATAAAGGAATTTAGAAAGACTGAGCACCAGCCGCTGCACTTATCTGGACTTCTCTCCTCAATCCGTTGCCAACTTTGATTGAATGGGTGCTGTGGATGTGATTATATAATACTGCCATTTCCAAGCAGTGTTTTTGGTAGGTTTTAATAAACAGACTTTTCAAAAGACGGCAATATAGAATTGTTAGATCCGTTGTTGATCTAAAAATATTTGCTTTATATTTTCATTAAATGACTTCTTTTAATATTTTATTCAGAATACTTATGAACTGCTGCAAAACGGTAATTTATTTTTCCCCAGATCTTGTATTACGTGTTTTTTTCAGACGAGCACAAATCAAAATGAAATGAAAATATGGACAGTTGTTAGGTAATAAGGGTATCTTTTGATGTGATCATTTGATTGTAATTTAATTTGAGTAGTGATTCCGTAAGAGCTGATCGAGAAAATAAATTTGTTAGAATGAAATAGTCTGTGTCTGATGCATACACACTGTGTGGGAAGAAAAGAGTTCTTTAGGAAATATTTTTTTACTAATGAGAATCCTTAAATCATAGCATTGAGGAAGTAGAGCCTGCTCCACTTAAGGTCTATTTGGAAATCTAGAGTAAAAGATAGGCATTTCTGAAACAGCTAGTATTTTAACATAGTAATTACTTCTTGTTAATCAATAAATTTCACAATATTTTTCTCCCTTAATTTTAGTGGGTGTCGTTAGTGTTTTTAGGTGAGATTGTCTAGATACTAGCCCTTTTCTTGAAAATACCTGTGTTCTTTATTGAAAGATTGAACTACATCACCAGTAAAAATGTGCCAACTGGTTATTAATGGTTAGTACAGCCCCTCCCCCAAGTTCAGCCTCTCTTTTCTCATTCCCCCAACATATTCCTATGTGTCTTTTCTCTTTTTCTGAAGACTGATAGTTGTTAAGAATAGCTTATAAGTCTATAAAATATTTTGATGTCAATTATGTCCATTAATAACTATATGTAATTAAATTATTAAGTTTTTTGTTTTTTTTCCTATCATGAAAGACTATAGTTCCAAAATCCTGATTATGGTCCACACTTCATCCATCTGCACAATTAACAGCTCAGACTTAAGGTTCTACATTTCCGTGTTTTCTCTGATGATTCAGTATGATTCTATATCTTCCTTACTGGTGCTGGGAGTTTTGGCTTTTTAGATCACTTTTTAGATAAACCCTGTATAGTGGTCACATTTATCAAGTTAATGTTTCAATATTTACAATGTGGGAAAATGAAAGTATAATGCCTCAGGTTGTGAATACTAAAGATGATAAAAGGCTCTGCTTAGTGGAGTCCCTACGTATTGTACTTAAAAAAAGTCTTTGGGGTGATAAAGCAATGACTTTATAGACAAACTTCCCCTTGTCTCACTTAGCTGTCACTCACTTTTTTTTCCTTCTTCTCTCCTCTTCACTCCCTTTCCCTGTGGTATTGATACAGGGGTTTAAAAACCCAAAAAAACGGTGAGAGCAACAAGGAATAGTTATTTGTCCCCGACAGGCCCTGTGTCACTTTCATAAATCAAGCCCAGCCAGATGGCCGTGTATTTGGGCTGTATTGTTTTAAACACCAAATCGTACTAAAAATCACAATCATTTTGATTTGTGAAATCTGAAAAAGGCCATATTTATTAAACAGAGAGAAGAAGAAGATGAGGACAAGAAACCACAATTTACTTTTCTTTGCTCCTTGTTTTGTATTTATCTTGCTATTGTAAAGGCTCTGCCCTGTGAATTTACAACCAGAAGTGGGGATGGGTGTGAAGTTCATTGTTTTTGAGGGTCTAAAGGGCAAGGGAAGAAGTCATTGGAAAACTGAGGATTGAGCAGGTTTTTAAGTGATAGATACTACTGGCACATGAGTGGACTCCTATTTTTTCTACAGGAATGGTGGTGATTGATTAGACAAGGAATGGGATCTATTTAAAATTTTAGGAGGTATCTACTTACTTGATTTAGCTGACAACAAAAGAGCTAACATTAGATTTCACACTGTTTTCTATTAAAAAGCAAACTTTGCTGATTACTTTGGAAGAAACCCTGATTTGGGGGTAGTAGAGTAACTTTTAATTAGAGATGCTGGGAAAGCAAGCCCATTTTGTTTCATTATTTTGCATTTTATAAAGTGAGCTAATGCTTGCACTCCATTTTTTTAATCAACCCTTTGAATGTATTTATGAAATGAAATTCATGGTTGAAAAACAAAAGAGGGCAGATATAACTGAGAGGTTTTGTGCTAAGGCTTATATTGTTACACATGTAAATAATGAAAATATTGTTATATATCACCAGATCTTTTTAATGAATTTGGTCATTGTGTTCCTTTGCAGCGCAAGTGTCTTGTGCTTCGTAAAGTGCCCATTTGTTTCCTCCATTTCAATTCATCCCCTCCTCCCTTTCCAACCCAAAGGAAAGTGACAAAGTTCTGTTCCATCAGCCTGGCTAATCCCAAGCTAGGCCCATTTGCAGTTTACAGTCTCCCATGGCTCTTAATCAGTTGTCCAAGCCTCATTCACCCAACCATCTTCCCCTGGCAGGTCTGTGCCATAAATCATTCAAGGTGTATTTAAAATAGTCACTTGCTGTTGTTGCTCTGCCTTTTTTTTTTTTTTTGTACTTATCGGAGGACTACTTCTTTGTTCCAAAATAGAACTGTTCATTATTGATCTTAGAGATTCCCTTTGCTTCCTTGTAGCCTCCAGTGTTTGCTCATTACCATGCTCATAATCTGTTTTGTATGAATGGTTTTCAACATTCAGAGAATAATTGGTTCTAATATTAAATGCAGTATATACTATTGATAGTTTTATCGATAAGTGTAATATTTTAAATAATTTTAACAATTAAATTTGTTTTTTAAATTATATATTTGTAAAGTATTTATCCTGTTGGAAGCAACAATATATTGTTGTATTTATTCGTTTATTTTTGTAATAAATGATCAACCTCGTCAAGCTAAATCAAAAATGACACTTTTATATATTTATACAAAATGCACTTTAAGAGATGGGCATATTTGCACCAATTTGTATGTAAATAGAGTAAGATACATCAATAACTTGTAGCTTTCAGAACTAAATTGAAGGAAGAAGCAGTCTCTCCACATGGAGTTTAGTTTGCCTAAGTTTCAGGGTAATTAATCAACTCTAAAATGGATGCAACAAGTATTGGCACCAAATGCAGACTTGAAATTAATTATTTAGGAGGCGGACCTGCTTAATTTTTTTAAGGCTGAAAGATAGAAATTAGAGAAATCTTTTTTTTTCATGAAGTGCATATGGCAGGCTGCACCGATCAGAATGTATGCTATGTTTCCATGATAAAACCTGATACCTGACTGTGCTCAGACATCTATGCTGGGGAGTGGAGTTGAAAGAAAGTTGGAAGTTGGAGGTTTTCAGTGACCCAGAAGCAGGTGATGTTAAGGAAAAAAAATAAAAGAGTTGTGGTGTTGTGCTAGGTTAAAAAAGTAGATCCTTTTTTAAATGACTGACTCTAGAAGCAAGTCCTTCCTCCTAGTCTGGCTACTGACAGTATAAGCAATCAATACAGGTGGTCTTGTTGTTCTTAAGAGTGATACAATTAAGAAGTGTGGGGCCGCCTCTCCTGCTCTCCAAGTTCTATAGGTCATTTGGTCATCTCATTTTCTCAGGGCTGCTGGTCTGAGGGCCTGAAGGTCACCCATGTGACCTCCAGGCTGCGGGAATCCCACCGTAGGCTTGATCTTGATTTCACTAAGGAAATCAGAGGGCTCTGCGTTTGCATCCTGAACTTTCCTGCCTAGGAAAGGAAATAGTGCGCAGGCTGGAGGAGCTGGGGGCGGGGGCAGCGGAGATAGCAAGAGGGGTACTTGTGTAATCAGATTCTTTGATTTTGTTAGCCTGGCTCATGGCTTATTAATTAGATTACTCTCTCTTTCATTCTTGATTTCACATCCGTGTTTGTTCCTGTATCCTAAAATGTGGGCGCGAGCTTGGCGAGCAGGAACCTATGATGTCACTGCCGGCCAGCGCGGCTGCCTGGCCTTCTGGCGGGCTGTGGGCTGCGTTCTTGATGAGTCCGGTCTTCCTCAAGGAAGAGCCGGCTGTGGAAGTGACCTCAGAGGGGTCTGGGAAGAGGGCAACTGGCATTGTCGTGGTGGCACCATGCATGCGCTAGAGTGTGGTTGTGTGTGTGTGAGTGTGTGTGCATGCATGCCGTGAGCAAGAGGGTGCGTGGGGGTGGGGGGATGCGGAAATTCACGGTCTGGACCCAGAAGCCCTAGGGATGTAGGCGACTTGGTCAGGTGTAGGGCCTGCCTCGGGCAAAAACCTGAGGTCAAAAGAAGCAGAGGGGGAGGAGGGACCCAGCGCAGCCAGGCGTCAAAAGCCCGGTTTCCTCTGGG